CTCGACGAGGACGTCCCCGTGGTCGTGGAGCTGGTCGGTCAGGTCTGGCTCTGTGGAATTCCTTGATGAGTGATGGATCCAGAATGTCAGGTGCATTGACCCAAGATCTCTCCTCAGGCCCGTAGCCCTCCCAATCCACCAGATATTGGAGCTGACCCCCTCTACGCCTAGAATCCAGCAACATATTGACCTTATAAGCAGGCGATCCGTCGATTTCCAAAGGTGGCGGTGGCTCTTGATGCTCGGCGTTGGGGTCAGCGTCCGGGTGGAAGGGTTTAAGGAGAGAGGGAAAAAGAAGGAGAAATACGATAAGTGGCAGTGACGTTTGGCACTTTTGATGTACTCCAAGTTCTTGTGGTCTGTGATAACTTGGAACGGATGGACTGCCCCCTCTAACCAGTGTCTCCACTCTTCAATAGCGGCCTTCATAGATAACAGTTCCTTATTGCCCACATCATAATTACGTTCTGCCTGCGTGAGTTTTCTTGAAAAGAAAGCACATGGATATAATTTACCAGGTTGTCCGTGACGCTGGAAGAGTACAGCTCCAATGCCACTGTCAGATGCGTCCACTTCGACCACAAAGGGGAGATTGGGGTCTGGATGTCGTAATATGGGTGCTGTTGTGAAGCTAACCTTGAGGGTATTGAAGGCCTTGGCTGCATCTTCTGTCCACTTCAGTTTGGACGGTTTACCTTTATAAATCCATTGTTTAAGGCTTCTTCAATGTAACTCTCCATAGCTTGGGTTTCGTCATGGGTTAACGGGTACACTTTACTTTTGGGTGGCATGGCATTGGAAAGGAGATCGATAGCACAATCCCAGGGACGGTGAGGTGGGAATTGGGTGGCCTTCACCTTGTTAAATACCTCAGCATATTCGCTGTAACAGTCTGGGACTTTAGTGGTTTGTTCGATGACAGGGCTTTCAACACTGGTAGACAGGCACTGAGGTGAAATGTCAGAGTGCATACAATGGGTTAAGCAAAAATTTGACCAGCGGGTTAACTCACAATGATGCCAGGAAATAACTGGGTCATGAACTGATAGCCAAGGAAAGCCTAGGATGATTTCATTTCTTGGAGAGTCGATTACATAAAATGAGATAGCCTCTTGATGGAACAGGCCGACTTGCAGTTGAATGGGGTGAGTTTGTTCCGTTATGCCATCTCCAAAGGGTGAATTATCAACTGCTCGGATCTTGATAGATGGTGAGTGTTTTAAATGGCAGGAGAAAGACCTGATCAATATTTACCCGGGGTGTGGGATTGGAGAATATCCGAGTCTTGTGTGGGCACTTCAGCCTATGATGTCCGGCCTCACCACAATAGAAACACAAGTTGTGCAGTCGTCGTCGAACTCTCTCCTCCTCAGAGAGCCTTGAGAGACCCAGTTGCATAGGTTCCTGATTGGTGGCCAGGGGAACTGAGTGTGACTGGGATAGAGTTGATATGCTTGACAACGACCCGTAAGCAGGTTTTCTCTTAGGAGCATTCCTCATTAGGTTATCAATCCTTATGGCTAAATTCACAAACTCAGAGAAAGTTGAAGTCTCACCCTTGCAGGCCAGTTCTGCTTGAAGTTCCTGAGTTAGGCTTCGCTGGAAAACTGCTTTCAGTGAGACATCATTCCATCCACTCCAGCCAAAACAGAGGGAAAATCCAATAATCAGAAGTAGAATCAAACAGGCAAGAAGTCATACACAATATCAACAGGCAATGGTAATAGAATGCTCGGTAAGGCAGTGAGACTGGCAATACTTTGCAGAGAGTGTTTGGGCAAGCCATGCTTTATGGGAGCTCCCACTGCTGGCCTGGCATTACACTATCTATCTATCTATCTATCTATATATCTATCTATCATCTATCTGTCTGTCTGTCTGTCTGTCTGTGTCTATCTGTCTATCTATCTATCTATCTATCTGTCTGTCTGTCTGTCTGTCTATATATCCTCAACTTTCACTGATGAGAAGGGGTGTGTGAAGCATTAGTTGCAAAAAAAGATAAGCCACTTCTCTAAAATCACTGTCAGAGCTGAATCCCATAAACCCCCACTTTACAAACATATATGAACCAAGCAGGACATAGTGTGTACCATTTCTACAATACTGTCATAAACAATGGTGTCAGGACTTTTCATCTTGATGACACTGACACTTTCATTGACATGAATACTTGCTTCTGAGGAATGACCTATCCATTTTGAGCAAGTGACATGCTTTTGCAGGTTATCAACTAGGTTTTGCAGTTTGTACTAATTGTTTTGAGAACTGCATTAACTGTTGTGCAAATGTAAATAGTGATGTGAGAAATGCACCAAAGCGACTGAGAAAAACTGTAAAAAAGCATTTGAAATTTTTTTTTTTTTTGTCAAATTATTAAACTATATAAATGCATTGTGACCATATAAACTGTTGTATGCAAGGTTCTCTCTGGACCACAACAACTTTGTAATAATATAATCATTACTGTGAGAAGCATATACATCACTGCAGCCATTGTTTTATTACTAGTATTCATTACATTTATATTTGTTATATTTAACAACATCTTAAACATGGAATATATACAGTTTTAAAATGTCTATTTATTTGTCAAAAAATAATTTGTTTATTTAAACTATTTTGGAATTACATTGATCTGAATTACATTTCATTTAGTGGCACCCATAGTCCTCCATAACACAAAGGATTCTCAAGGTCTGAGTCCATGAGTGAAAATGCTTAAATGTTTCTTAATTTTTCCACAGTTTCTTTACTTAACAAAATATAACTTAATTCTGCTTTTTAAATGTCCCTCCCATATTAACAACCCCCATATTCCCCAAGAAAGCTATGGAATTCGATAATGATAAAAAAAAAAAGAATAAAATGCAAATAATTTTATATCACAATACTAAACATTATTATATATTCAATCTGCATTGACTTCAAAATATCAGATCAATTATTTATTTATTTATTTACAGTAATGGGTGAGCAAATATTGATTGTATTTAGATTTTTTTTAGGTGAACTATCCCTTTAAGGATCAGAGTCTGAGTTGACTGAGATGATGAGCTGCGTCATGATACCACCTATAAGGCTTATTGGATTGGTTTTGTCAGCACAAAACCATAACAGAAATAGAAATGAACAGGATTAGCACCGTGAACTGAATACTATCTGCTGCTCAATTTTCTGACTTAAAACATTTGTTCTTTCGTAAACTCCAAATATAGCTCACCCCAAACGAACTATTTAATGGCAAACACGTTGGAGATTAACAGACAGGCTGTCAATTCATTAAGTGGTAAGCTGTTTACAAGCTGTTAACTGAAGCCATCCATTCAAAAACACAATTCATACCATTCCACTGAAAACACCTGCACCCTCAGTTCCACTGCAGTGTAATTTTATAACTCTTTCTAAAATTAAGGGTTATCAGAATTGATTCTAGTCATGAAACACGCGTTTATGGTCATGTAGGTCAGGATGTATGTAGACTTCATTGGGTTCAGTGACATTTTCCTCATCCAAGACAACTGCAATCATCAGGCGTGAATGAAAGAGCACTCAGGCAAAGCAAACAGGAAGAACAATGACAGGGCTAATGTGGGCAGATGT